ATAAATAGAAAAAAATATTTTTTTAATAAGAAAAAGTGGATAGATTTGTTACATTTGTACCAAAATATCTCTCATCCATTTGTTGGAAACCAATTTCTTTTGAGGTGATGTGAGATTTTGTTTTTCCAATAAAATTTTCTCCTTTCACATGGTAAAAAATCAAACTCCTAATAATATGATTAAGAAACTTAACTATCAATCAATTATATCACACCACTTTATTGATGAAGTGGATAAATAAAATAACATAATAAAAAAATATGCTACTTACACTTCTCAACACGAGAAATATAATAAGTTTTCTAAAGTTCATGAAATCATTTTATAAAAATAAATTTTATTAGACAAAATAATTTATGCACCGATCATATAATTTTTTTTTCACATTTTTATTCAAATATAAGTTTTCGCTCATAATAAATTTATTAACTTTTATAAAAAAGTACTTAAAAATCATACATATTATAATTTATGATTAATTAACTGTATAGCATATCCATTAAACTCATTTTATAATGAGATGAAAAAAAATTATATATGTTACAAACATCAAATGAAATTATTACATAATATTTAGTTTATCAATTTTAAAATAATTATGTTTTTATGAGTTTTAGACTTTAGTTTGTTTTAAATTATTCATCATTTAATAAAATCAAAACATAATTAATTTGTTTTTGTTTCTTTTCTACTTCATCCTTACTTTTAGAAGTTTTATTAAATGAGTATGGGAGTATGATGATAATATCACTACAATAAAATAAAATGGACTTTTAGTAGCATTTAATATGACTTTTAGTGACAATAAAAATTGTTACAAAATCTTTTACCGGCATTTCACACATTAGCCATTGTATTCAGTATCGCTAAAATATTTACCGGCAATTATTCTATATGCTGGTAAAGACCCTCATAATGGTCGGGAAAAGTGTATAACTTTTTGTGTCATTTGTTACTGGCATTTAAAATTGCCGCTAAAAGTTTAAGAATAAATTTATAATATTATTTAATTATCTTATTTCTAGTCGATGTATGACTTGTAAGATTTTAGTTACCTTATTTCTAATTGATGTAGGACTTAGAAGATGAAGGTTATCTTTTGAGTATATATTCTTTAATTTTTTTAATTATCTTATTTCTTAAATATCAATTTAGAATAATAAGTTATAGGCCTAACTCAACCTTATAAAACATACTTGTAAGGTGTGAGTTATCATTCACTTATATACTCTTTAATTATTTTATTTCTAGTCGATGTGAGACTTAAGTTTTTTCTAATAAATAATTGTCGCTAATAGTAAATTTTGATGTGATGTAAACACATTTTTAGTGACCATTATATAATAGTCATTAATATTTTTATTAAATAATAAAATAGAAACAATTCATCTATTATCATTAAATAATTGTCGGTAATACTAAATTTTGTTGTAGTGTATGATCAATGAAATTATAACTTTTAAAAATTAAATACACTTAATAATTTATTTATTTATTTTGTTCTTGTTACAAATATTCTCAAACTCACCGAAAATATTATGGTAGTCATAGACTTAATGAGTTTTTAAACATGGTAAAAATCAAATTTATGATTCGTGTTAAATAGATTATATCTACAACTGATAAGTATTAAGTGTTTAATTATTATGTCAATTTTTTTTATATTTTTTCTTAATAATTTATTTGAAACTTTAAATTAACTA